GGCGGTACAGGGCTACAGGATAAATCCTGAGAGTACTTGGCTGACCTTATCAGATACAAAAGTTACATTTCTTGTCATACAGGTCTTGCTATATCTTGGTCTTAACCATCCAGCAGAAAAGTATAAAAATGAGGTATATAAAGTAAATCCATATTAATGCGATGAGCTGTAAAAGGCTCAAGTCAATAACTTCTGAGGATAACCCACTAATAATATAGACTTCTAGACAGTGTTAGATTGTTTAGTTGAATTCAAATACCTATAGTATTTAGATGCCAATAGAATATTCACCTGTGACAGGACAAAAAAAAGATACAAAAGAAAGATCATTTTGTATTTATATATACAAAATAGTTAGGATAAATTTACAGCTACTTTCTCTTAATTCAATAAGAAGAAAGTGGTATACTAACAGTGTTTGGACAGAATATCCGGTCTGCTTCTTGTACTATGGATAACACTAAAAAGATAACAATGTACAGTGTATTGATTATCAAAACTGTCCTATTAATCAGCTGTGAAACTGTCTGATTTTACTTATTTCTCAAGAAAAAAAGAAAAGAAATAAATGCAAAAGAGCAACAAAAAATTTTAAAAAATTAATGCTGTAACACAATACACAGAAAGGTTGTGAGGTTTTCAGCTCTCTTGAATTTTAAAAATAGAATTGCTAACTATCTGTTTTTGTATAGATTAATAACTACCTTGTTTGTATCCCCCCAAAAAAACTGGCAAATAAAAAGTTATTCAGACTAATATCAGGTAATTGTCTTACTTATGTATGTTGCAATATATGCTACAAAATACAGCACATCCTTTGAATCATACTTGTTCGTATACTCTGTTACCAGAAAAGAAAAATGAGTAATGAAAAATATCCCAGATCTCTTGTCTTTTGAAACCTTGGCTAAATAGCAGCATTTCTATCAAAGAGGAAGGCCGTATTTCAACTGCACCCAAGCACATTCCTGGAACTGAACTCAAAGCACTATCAAACATGCATATACATAGCTATTGGCCAGGCTCAGCTATCCAAAAGCCACAAGAGGGCCGGTGAGATAGCTCAGTGTACTAAAACACCTGCTTAGGCAAACTTAGGCAAGCACAGAGATCACAGTTTGCCCCCCGCCTCACCACATGTAGTGCCAGCCCTGACACAAGGGTTGGCTGGGCCAGCCAGAGCCCAGGTGTAGAGGTGCCCGCCTGTAATCCCAGCACTGGGGAGGCTGAAAGCAGGAGGACCACCACGAGTCAGAGCTGTGTAGTAAGACCCTGCAACAACCAAATACATTAAAAATAAAAAACCACAAGTGGTCTGTCTTGCCTACCTGGTAGTCCTGGTAGTCCAGGTTGTCCACTCAGTCCAGGTTGTCCTGGATCTCCAGGCAAACCCTGGTAGCCTTTTGGTCCAGAAACTCCAGGAACACCTTCCAAGGATATAGGAGACACAAGTTAGACTATTGTTAATCCACTATATGAATATGGTAAAACAAGCTATTCTAGTGTTGAACCATACATAAAATAGAAGAATTGGTGATTTTCTGATACAGTACAAACCATTAGTCCTGTACTCACACTGAAACCTGCTATTTTTTATTTACCTAACATCAAGAAATACAGAGCACGTAAGAACTTCACTTTCTCCTATGGGCCTCAGCATCACACAATGAGAAATTCGTAGGCTTTCCTTTTAAATTCCATGACTTTCTTTCATAGGGCTACAGTAAAGGCACATATACTTTACTGCCTCTATCATGCAGAAAGCATAGCTGAAAGAGAAAAGAGGACTTGCAAGGAGTAAGTCAAGGAAGGTACCTCATTTTAGCCATAATAAAAACTAGCTTCTTTTGTGACTGCACAAAACTGCAATATTTCAAGCATTTAAGAGGAAAAATTATCACCAAATCTTATTCAATGGGAAACAAAAGTCTGTGTACATAAACATACTCACATGTAAACAACTTACAATATTAATGGTTAAGACACAAAAAGAATTACAAACTTACTACAAGCTGCAATTAGTATAACTAGTAAAGCTTGTTATTGTTTGAAAGACTATATAATTTTTGTTGTAAGTGCTTTTTGAAATCTGTTTTCTATAAGTGCTCTGCATGCTGATTTATGTCTATCTATACTCTGATATTTTATTCTGAACACATTACACTTCTATAGATAAAAGGATTGCTTAAATTTAAAGCCTCGTATACTTTATGCTATATTTGCTTCTAATAAAGCAACTATAATAACATATTTTCCACACATAATTCAAGACTTCCTCCAGTGCTAAGAATGGCTACTCATAGTACAAGACTGTATTTTTATTTTGCCCAAGTAGAATAACAATGGACCATAGTTAAAAGCCAAGCAATATAAGGATATTAAAACACTGCACTAAAATAATGCACATGTCATCCAAATCTGATTTCAAAGGAAAAAATGAAAAGGACCAACAAATTTCCTAAATGACAAAATCTGTTTTCCAAGTGATTGTGTCTATATATACTTTTCTATTTATTGTGATAGTATAGTACTCTTCGAATCGCTTGAAGCTGACTGTCTAACTCTGTTTTAAAACCTCACAGCTCAAGATAGATAAACAACAAAGAAAATACTCAAAAATTATCATTGCACCAACATGAATCAAATAAAAATTAATATTCAATACCAAGATTTGATGCACCTAAGTACATTTTGTTTAAAAGTCCTGCATAACAAGTTAATTTTCATATGATTTTAAAGTTAAACTATAGGAGCTGGGAGTATATTTAAGTGGTACTATATGTGCTTAGCACGAACAACCCTCATAAGTTCAATTTCCAGCAATGAAAGAAAATGAAAATGTAGATGGTGGAAAATGTTTTCACAAATACATGATTACATTCACTCACCTGGTAAACCAGGTTCCCCCTTTTCTCCTTTTGAGGTTAAGAGATTTGGATCCATTGGTCCAGGAGGGCCTGGAAGGCCAGGTTCTCCTTTACCACCTTTTTCTCCTGCAGGGCCAGGAAGTCCTGGGTGGCCCTGTAGGCCAGTATCACCTAAAATCAGCATGTGTTAACAAGACAAAACAGATCATATTTATCTATCACGATTAATACCTTTAAAGATTATTTATAACTGAGAGTTGTGTAGGCTAGTAGGTCACCAAAACATATACGCAAGTCCCTTGAGTGCACATATACTGAAACTTAAATAACAGTCACTCTTCTTCTGGAATTCTTTGACTGGTCAAACAACAAATAAAAGCTTAGTCCTTATTTTTTGAGGTAAAAATTTATCATGCTTACCAAATTAAGTAGGCCATAAAACTTACAATGCCATTTCACATAGAAAAAAATACTAAGTACTGCTTATTTTAATATGGTCAATAAAAATATTCTCTGTAATATAGAGCAAGTTTCTTTTTTACTCTTTTACATTTTAGCTATAAAACACCAAATATTACCTTTAAGACCAGGAGCCCCACTCCTGCCAGGAATTCCCAAAGGTCCTGGTGGTCCTGGAGGGCCCATCATACCCATTTCACCTTTAGTTCCTTTGAAGAATACCAACAAATAACATTTGTCTCTTTTGACATTAGAAAAATAAAAAATAATTTTTAAGATATCAGTTGAAAAGCTATTGCAGAACCTTAGCACCCACTATTACAAATACTGAGGGATATAGATGCTCATTATGGCTACTTATAGCCTGAGTATTTTTATGGCAACTAATCTCCAAAGATGAGTCCCAGTGAGGAATATTTCCCAATATACACATCTTGGTTTAGTCCTCTGACCTAAAATCTAGGCTGACCCTGCATTATCTTTAACTAAATGACACTGTAACTCTCAAGCTAGATCATTAGATGTTTTGCAGTTTCCAATGGGGACTTCTGGAACACTCCTTTTTGGCTTTTGAGATACTTTCTCTTAGAAACCAGCTGCCATAAAAGGATAAAAATAATTCGGATACTATTATGGTGTAAGGAGTGCAAGCCATATGAAAAAACATTGTGGATGATGAGAAGCCATGTGAGGCAAGATACACCCAAGGGACAGGAAAGTTCCACCAAACAAGCAGAGCTTTTGGTCTTAATTGCTTTAGTTGGGGTTATATGGGTTACAGATAAACCCAGGAAAACCATCTCTTGATTTTTAATGGCAGAATCTTAAGCAAAATAAAAATGTTGGTTTAAACCAGGAAGGTTTGGAGTTCTTTACTATACAATAATATTTGACCAGAATTCTAACAGCAAAAAAAGTGCAAGCAATGAATGGAGTCTCCTACAATCAAGGCTATTTTAACAATTTAACAGACAAAAGTCAATTCAGAAAAGAGAAGGATAAAAATAATTTAGTAGAGTCATATTAATTTCATGAATGAAAAATGAGAGAAAATATTAAACAAACCTGGGAATCCAGGGGCACCTGCTTTTCCTGGGATCCCTGGTGATCCTGGGGGTCCCATAGGACCAGGTATTCCAGGGATCCCTGGACTACCTCTCTCCCCAGGAGGTCCTGGAACATCAAGTCCAGGAGGTCCTGTATCTCCCTTCTCTCCTGGTATTCCATGTAAGCCTGGGTTAATAAAACAACAATATTAGTAACTATCAAGTCAGTTTTAAAAGATGTATCTGCAAACATCTGAATCTTATAAAAATCCACTTAGAAAAAAACTACTGCCAGCATAGTAAATGGGGCAAAACTGAAATCTTTTCCTTTAAAATCAGGAACAAGGAAAAAATATCTAATATCATGACTTGATTTCTATATGGTACTTGAAACATTAGCCATATCAGTCAGGCAAGAGAAATAAATAAAAAAGGACATTTATAGGAAAAGAAGAAGTCAAACAAGCATTATTTGCAGAAGACATGATTTTCTGCACAGAAGAGCAAAACAATAATTCCAGAAGAATCCTACAATTAATAGCCCAATTCAGAAATGTAGCAGGATATAAAATCAACACACAAAAATCAATAGTGTTCATTTATACTAGTAATAAACTCCCTGAGAAAGAATTTAGGAAAATATCATTCATAATAACAGTAAGAAAAATAAAGCACTTAAGCCTTAATATAAATAAGGAAGTGAAAGACCTCTATAACAAAAATAACAGTATGTAGTCTGAAAAAGGATATTGAAGAAAAATCAGAAAATGGACAGATATCCAATGTTCTTGGATAGGCAGTACCAACATAGTCAAAATGCCTATACTTGAAAAGCTGATATGCAGATTTAACACATTTTTTTCATATTCTGATCAAAATATTAAGAGCAGTCCTCACAGAACTAGAGAAAACAATCCTAACGTTCATGGGGAAACAGAAAAAAAAACAGAATAGCAAAAGCAATCCTGACTTACAACAGCAAAGCAGGAGATGCCACAGTCATGGATTTCAAGTTACATTACAAAGCTTTAGTGATTAAAACACAGATACAGACATGTGGTTCAATGGAATAGAATAGAGATTGAAGAAACAACTACAGGTGCATTCAAATATCTGATCTTTGGCAAAGTGATCCAAAATATACCCAGATAAGACAGCCTCTTTAACAAATAGTGCTGGGAAAACTAGTCATGCATGTGAATAGGAATGAGTCTAGAACCATGTCTCACACTCTGTACTCATAGCAAATAAAAATGTATCAAATATCTAAATGTTAAAATAGAAACATCTACTGGATGATAAAATAGACAATACTCTTGAAAACGAAAAAGTAGGCAAGGTCTTTCTGAACAAAATCTAAATTTCATAAGAAATAGTACTATCAATAAATGGGATCATATCAAATTAAAAAGCTTCTTCACAGTACAGGAAAACAGCCAAGAGAATGAAGAGATCACTGAGACAGTAAAAAAAAATTTGCTAGCTATCATGCAGACAGAAGTCTAACATCTTGAATATCCATGGTGCTCAAAAATTTAGATAACCCAAAATAAAACACAATCAAAAATGGGCAAATCAAACAATAAACATTTTTCAGGAGAAGCACAAATGACTCATAAATACTTGAAAAACATGTTTAGCACCTCTGGCCATTAGAGAAATGCAATTTGAAACAACACTGAGATTCCCTCTTACCCCAGAAAGAATGGTTATCATCAAAAAAATAAAGTGATAACAAATGCTGACAAGATGCACTAGAAAGGGGGGAGAATCTACTAAACCATTTCTGTAAATGTAAACTAGCATAACTATAGTGGTAATTAGTATGGAGAGTGCTCAAAACACTCAAGATGAAATTTATTTGAGCAGCTATTTCCTCTTGAGGTATCTTGAAAGAATTGAAATCGTAATAGAGTGCTACATGTATGCTCAAGTTTATGACAGCATAATTCATAGCAGTCAAGTCTTGGAAATATCCTATATATTCATCAACAGATAAATGGACAAAAAATTGTGGTGTTGATACACAAAGGTGTATGATTTTCCCATATAGAATGATAAACTTGAGTCATCAGAAGTAAAATAGACATTCTTTGAGACTATAACATTAAGTGAAATAATTTAGACACACAAGATTAATTTTCCTGTGGGGGACTTAAGTCAACAATTTCTGACATTGCCAGTGAAGCGGAAGACCCAATACTATTATGGACTACTGGACTCTTTTAGAATATTTTGCTGAGTTAACACACCTATAATATTTAAATGATGGAACTAAACAAAAAATGGGATACAGATGAATTTCCATTTGGTATCTGTGTATTCAAAATGGTTAGGATAGATATATAGTTACATTCTCTTAATGAATAGAGTGATTTGTTCTAATGGTGTTTGTAAATAGGATATCATGCCCGCATCTTGTACAGCAATTAACCACTAAGATGAATGTATGCAGTGTGTTAATTATTGAAACTGTCCTACAAATTTGATTTGAAACTGTGTCATTGCTATTTGTTTATCAATAAAATTATGGCAAAAAAGATTAATTCCCATATAGTTTTTTTTTCTTATATGAAGAACCTCAGATATAAATAAAGAGAAAAATAAAATAGATAACAGGAAAAAAGGAGACAAATCCTTTTCAATGGGAAGAAGACCAAGAGACAGAGGGAAGGTGTATGGAGGAAAGTAGAAGGGAATGAAAAAAGAATTGAGATGTCTTACATATATGTACCAACTTCCCACAAGGAATGTAGTTATTATGTACTGCAAACATACTAATAAAAAATAAAATTTAAAAATATTTATCTAATTTTCTAGTAAACAAATAATAGAACTCTGTGTATAAAAAATCTGAGTATATTAAAGATACTTTTGACTTTATGTATACAAAATGAAAAAAAATCAAGCTTTAAGATTTTTAATAATACTGCTTCAGGATAGTGCTTGTTGAATTATTTCTGGTAAATCACCAGTTTTTCTTAGTTGCTATTTCTTTATGTATTCATTTTTGGATAACATACATTAAATCATGAAATAAAAATCCAAAGATATAATCCTACAGTTTTAGGTGCTGTATTCAAAAAATACTACATTATCAAATTGCTAAAATTTTCAAAACTCTCAATCTTTATCAGCCTTCTGTTATAAACTCATAATAGTTGGTGCTGTAACACTGCCTCTATGACCACAATTGGAGTTGCATTGTTGTAATTAATATGAATCATTACATAACAACTAATATTTGACTAAGCCAGTTAGTTATATGGATACTGTGATTATGTTTTAGCTTTGTTTTACATGTTTTCTTTTCTTGGTACCAGGAATTGAATTCAGAGCCTCATACTTTCCAGGCAGGTGCTGTGTAAATGTTGTTTTAATTATACATTAATATTAGTTCCGAGGGGCTGGAGAGATGGCTCAGTGGTCTAA